AAACCCAGGCTCCAAGCACCCTGCAGCAGGACCCCCAGGCAGGAGGGGTGCTGGCCAGGGGCAGTGGAGGAGCCCCAGCACGTGGGAAGTGCAGGGATCAGAGCTGGGCACGTACCCTCCAAGGCTTTATCCAGGTCCGCGATGAACTCCTCCAGCTCCTGCGTGTCACCAAGCTTAGCTAGTGGGGAGAAACATGGTCAGGTCTTCCCATTCCTCCTCTCACTTGGGAGAGGAAAGACCCCCTACCCCTTGTTCCTAACCACAGCTGCTCCAGCTGCAGCTGTTTCCATCCCATTTCCATTCCTGATCGGGAACACACTAATCCAGCTTGATGGCTGTTCCAGGATCCTGCCAGAACGCCAGGGCTCAGTCCCATCTCCTAATCCTGCAGGACCCCACTGACACCCCCCATACAGGGAAGCCCAATTGTCACCAAGCCAGGCTGAGCACGTGGAAGGAAGCACTGGCAGACCCCTGGGGACAGAGCCAGGCTCACCTTTGGTGGGGTAAGTGTCGGCTGGGGTGTTGAGGTGCTCCTCGCTGGAGTTGAGGCTGCTTCCCGGGGACGTGCTGGCACCTGCACACACAAAGCATCAGTCCCTGGTCTCAGCCACAGGCACCCAATGGGCACATTGCAGGAGCAGGGACCGACCACGCGCGTGGCACGGGGTGCCAGGTCCTGCCTCGTGCTTGGACAGCCCATCTGCTCTTCCCCTGGTACCAGGAATGCTTGGAAAAAGGCAACTGAGCTTCTTTCTTGGGCCAAAGATCACAAGAGGCTGTCTGGGCACAGTCACAAGGACTCTCAGGATTATTACATGGAATTGGGTCCCTCTGAGCTCCCACTTATCCCAAGCCTCCCACAGTCGTGCAGCAGCCAGCCCGGCAGAAGGAGCCCTGGCAGATGTTGGCAGGTCCTGGGCCAGGATCCAGTGGTCATCCCCGCAGTGTTGCTCATCCAGCCCACTGGGGATGAGTCAGGCAGCATCAGTAGAAAGCTCAGTGGTTTTCCATGGAGGAACCCCAGAGCTCCCACACCAACAGACGTCATCCTCCCCCACGGCTCGTCATTCCCCAGCCCCAGACTCACTCTCCAGCTCATCCATTTCATGCCCCAGCCCCAGACTCACTCTCCAGCTCATCCATTTTGTTCCCCAGCCCCAGACTCACTCTCCAGCTCATCCATTTCGTTCCCCAGCCCCAGACTCACTCTCCAGCTCATCGATGCCGCTGTCGTACACGCTGTGTCCCACTTTCCTCTTCAGCTCTTCCAGGTGCTGCTGGTACTGACATGCAGGGCCTCGGTCAAAGTCCTCCATCACCTCATCAAACTCCCTGAGCAGGTCACTGAGCTCCTCGGCCATCGCTGGGGACAAGAAGGGGGTGTTGGAGCACCCACCCTGCAGGCAGTCCCAGCAAGACCCTCTTGGGAGCAGCCCCAGGCTGGGCATGGGACAGAGCCAGGATGCAGGTCCCCTCCCTGCAGGCAGTTCTCAGCCTTACTCTGAGCTTATCCAGCTCCTCGGACACCTTGGAGATCCCTCCAGCTCATCCCACAGCTGAGCTGGTGTCCAACCCAGTCTGAGACGGTCCTATCCAGGTAAGGGGCTTGATA